CAAATGCGAGTTTAGCAGCTGCAGTGTACATGAGCCCTTAGAGAGGAATGGAGCCAAGTAAATACAGGACCTATCTTAGGTGCCAGGGAACAGCTATCATCCTGAGTATTCCACTGTTGTTCCTCATTGCCATCTGTAGCACCTGTGCTATTAAGTCTTTCCCCTCTCCCCCCAACTGCTCTGCATTCTTGTCTCTGCCATTGCTAAAAGAGGTGATCCCCTGTGGGTTTCCAATGAAATGGATGCAGAATACATGTGCATTTGCCTTTCCAGGAAAAAGTTGCCACTAACCAGGCACTGTTCCAATGTCCTGCATCTGTGTCTCTGGAACACCAAGCAGTTGGGAGATCGATGGACAAGCTACTTTTCAGCAGACATGGCGAGTGAAACAGTCAGCTGGAGAACATACTGCAACAAAGTCATCACAGCCAAGCAGCAATGTCATGTAGGAAATACCACAGAGGGCATAGACCCAAAAGGGTTTTTTAGGGGCTGGGTGTCATAGTAATGGACCACAGCCCAGGGCCTGCAGTTAACTACAGTCATTGCACTATGTGCCAAAGGGGGTGCAGAACACTGGATCCAGTGCCCGATGCCAAACATTACAGGCAGGCCTAGCTTCTGTGAGGGTCTAGATACAACATAATAAATCTTCCAGCGTCTGATATCCTCAAAAACGTTTTATATATGTGCTCTCAGATATAATCCACCTTCATGAAGATATTCCTTTAATCTGTGAAATCCTCAAAAAAAAACAAAAATAAATAAATAAAAATATAATATATATATATATAAATATATATATATATATATATATATATATATATATATAAATATAAATATATATATATATAAAACATAATCACCCTGTGGTTACAGACGTGCCACCCCACTTAGTGTCCACATCTAAATGGCTGTACTAAAAACACACTTACCCTATCAAAACTTGTTTAAAGCTCTTAATATCATATACTCCAAAACAGTGGTCCAATCCGTCTTTTGTTTCTTCAATATTTAATATTCCATTCCTACAATCTAAAGATATTTTATTAACCCCATATAATAAATCATTAAATCACTGCAGACACTAAGTGGGGTGGCACATCAGTAACCACAGGGTGATTACCCACACAAATATATATATAAAAAAAAAAACCATAAAAAAGTACTATATTGAGGTTTTTTTTTTTTTTTTTTTTTTTGAGGATTTCACGGATTAAAAGGAATATCTTCATGAAGGTGGATTATATCTGAGAGCATGTATATAAAAAGTTCAAGGATATCACAGATGCTGGAAGATATTGACTTTTGAACTTTCAGGGGTGAAAGTGGAACTTTTGCATCTAGGGAGATTTAGGTTTTTTAGAGTGATTATTATTAGGGGTCTAGATATAGTTCTCAAGACGTAAACCAAGGGGAACTGCTGCAAAAACAGCTAGTGATCACTAAAGGCAATAGGATCTTGAGAAAGAGTCAGTGGAAGGTGGTAAAACATGGCAAAAAATAAGAGCAATTTCTTCTACGAGAGAAGGCGTCCATAACCTAAAAGGACACTAGAAATAAGCCCTGCATTGTATGATCACGATAAAACAGTTTAGAATAAGAAAAAAAAATACCTCTCCACTAAGGCTGCTTGGAAGTGTTTTGGGTGGTACTGTTGTGCTGGGAAGGCTGGAAAACTCCCATGTGTTCACAGGAAGAGCTGGGTCAGGATGCTTAGAGTTGTCAGTACATTTAGGATTGTCCAATAAGGTCACTTCATAAAATTCTTGAATATCTAAATTGTATAAAGAGGACATATGGTTAGTATAAGACATGAAAATAATCCAGTCAAAAAAAAAAAAAAACAAAAAAAAAAAAAAAAAAAAAAACACCACTAAGGACCTAGCCTGACCGTCATGTTGAACCTCTAGCTTTAGTTCCACGTCAATGACCTAGAACAAGTATGGAGGATATCAGTAGTTCTACTTTCAACAATTTTATAATTCGCATGATCGCCAAATAACTAGCATTTTCAGAAGGTGAGCGCTAGCAGCCTCCATATTTATCTTGTGATAGGTCTACTTAAAAGTAGTATTGACATGTAAATGGTGTTCTCTTGATTAACCCTAATGTAAAACGTCAATCAATAAGCCAAATACACAGGCGATATGTTCGCTGTCATACCTACTAATTTGTAATTCTTTTACGCCATTCACACTTTACAGCCAATTGGGGGTTTAACTTTCTATGTTACCTTTGACGTATTAGACCATTTAGGACCATCGTCATACTGATGAGGTCTTCCATGTACACTGCAAACCTCTACCTCCCACTTACCAAGACACAAACTGGCACACTGTACAATGTAAAAGAATGACAATGCAAAAAACACTCATTTTAAAATTTTAATGTGCGGAGGGTTCTTGGAAGCCAATGTAAAGTTGGATTTTAGGCAGCTACACTAGTTGTACTTCAAACAAATACAATGTTTTTTTAAATGAATACCTAACCGATCTTAGAGTTTTAAATTCCAGAGGAGTCCAGCCTATTTTTTTTTTTAAAATCGAAAACACAAATAAAGAACTCCTTATATGCATAATATAAAAGGTGGGGAGACTCAAATGTGACAGTCGTGGCACCATCCCCAATTTGACCAATAGTAGGAAGAATAGTTTCCAGTCACTCCAACAAGGACGGGAAGATAGGGATGTGCCAATGAACAAAATGTACATAAAAAGTAAAATATACATTTTTATTTCAACAATAAAGCAGTTACAAACAAATATCCAACAATTTCTCAGTCAGTTGTATGATAGACATGCTACAAAAACATGGTGAAACCGTGCATTTTGCTTATAAGCCACTCCATCAGTGTCCACTTGCTTGTGTTATCTTTAGAATATGGTAGCTAACAAAATGATATAAAAACATAAAACAAAATTATACAAAAAGGGTAAATACAAAAATGAAAAAGTTAAAAATACACAGTACAGTATTATTCTGTAGCACAAGAGGAGTGGGATATGAGGGAAAAAAAAAAAAAAAAAAAAAGAGAAGGACCCACCATCTATAGTGCCTTGAAAAAAAGTATTCATACCCCTTGACATTTTCCACATTTTGTCATGTTACAACCAAAATCAAATGTATTTTATTGGAATATGTCATAGACCAACACAAAGTGGCACATAATTGTGAAGTGGAAGGAAGTGTATAAATGGTTTTCAAAACATTTTTTGCAAATAAATATCTGAAAAGTGTGGCGTGCATTTGTATTTAGTCAATACTTTGTTGAACCACCTTTTGCTGAAATGACAGCTGCAAGTCTCTTTGGGGATGTCTCTACCAGTTTTGCACATCTAGGAGTGAAGTTTTTGCCCATTCTTCTTTGCAAAATAGCTCAAGCTCTGTCAGATTGGATGGAGAGTCTATGAACAGCAATTTTTAAAGTACTGCCACAGATTCAACTGGATTTGACTGGGCCATTCTAACACACATATATATGCTTTGACTCTAAACATACAGCCAGAGCTACAATGGAATGGTTTAGATCAGGGGTGGAAAACTATGGCCCTCCAGCTGTTGTAGAACTACAAGTCCCATGAGGCATTGCAAAACTGACAGTTACAAGAATGACTCCCAAAGGCATGATGGGACTTGTAGTTCACCAACAGCTGGAGGGCCACAGTTGCCCACCCCTGGTTTAGATCATTGTCCTGCTGGACGGTGAACCTCCGCCCCAGTCTCAACTGTTTCGCAGACTAACAGGTTTTCTTCTACGATTGCTCTGTATTTGGCTCCATCCATCTTCCGATCAACTCTGACCAGCTTCCCTATCCCTACTGAAGAAAAGAATCTCCACAACACGATGCTGCCACCACCATGTTTCACGGTGCATATGGTGTGTTCATGATGATGTGCAGAGTTTTCCACCACATATAGCATTTTTCTTTAAGGTCAAAATGTTCAATTTTGGTCTCATCTGACCAGAGTACGTTCTTCCAAAAGTTTGTTGTGTCCCCACATGGCTTCTCGCAAATTTGACTTCTTGTGGCTTTCTTTCAAACAATGGCTTTCTTCTAGCCACTCTTCCATTAAGGCCAGATTTGTGGAGTGCATGACTAACAGTTGTCCTGTGGACAGATTCTCCCACCTGAGCTGTGGATTTCTGCAGCTTCTCCAGAGTTATCATGGGTCTCTTGGCTGCTTCTTTCATTAATGCTCTCCTTGCCCGGGCCTGTCAGTTTAGGTGGACAGCCATGTCTTGGTAGGTTTGCAGTTGTGCCATACGCTTTCCATTTTCGGATGATGGATTGAACCGTGCTCTGTAAAATGTTCAAAGCTTGGGATATTTTTTTTTTTTTTTTCACAACCTAACCCTGGTTTAATCTCCTCCACAAGATTATTATTATTATACAGTATATATAGCGCCAACAGTTTGCTTAGCGCTTTACAATATAACTGGAGACAATACAGCAACAATACAGTTCAATACAAGAAGGAAAGGAGGGCCCTGCTCCTTGGAGTTTACAATCTAGGAGGATTATCCCTGACCTGACTGGTGTGTTCCTTGGCCTTCATGATGCGGTTTGTTCACCAATGTTCTCCAACAAACCTCTGAGGGCTTCACAGAATAGCTGTATTTATACTGAGATTAAAATTACACACAGGTGGACTATTTACAAAATTAGGTGACTTCTGATGGCAATTAGTTCCACTATTTTAGTTAGAAGTATCAGAGTAAAGGGGGCTGACTACAAATGCACGCCACACTTTCCAGATATTTATTTGAAAACATTTTTCAAAACCATTTATCATTTTCCTTCCACTTCACAATTATTAGGAGATGACCAGAGACTGCGGACACCGTACAGGAGATGACCAGAGACTGCGGACACCGTACAGGAGATGACCAGAGACTGCGGGTACAGGAGATGACCAGAGACTGCGGACACCGTACAGGAGATGACCAGAGACTGCGGACACCGTACAGGAGATGACCAGAGACTGCGGACACCGTACAGGAGATGACCAGAGACTGCGGACACCGTACAGGAGATGACCAGAGACTGCGGACACCGTACAGGAGATCACCAGAGACTGCGGACACCGTACAGGAGATCACCAGAGACTGCGGACACCGTACAGGAGATCACCAGAGACTGCGGACACCGTACAGGAGATCACCAGAGACTGCGGACACCGTACAGGAGATGACCAGAGACTGCGGACACCGTACAGGAGATCACCAGAGACTGCGGACACCGTACAGGAGATGACCAGAGACTGCGGACACCGTACAGGAGATGACCAGAGACTGCGGACACCGTACAGGAGATGACCAGAGACTGCGGACACCGTACAGGAGATGACCAGAGACTGCGGACACAGTACAGGAGATGACCAGAGACTGCGGACACAGTACAGGAAATGACCAGAGACTGCAGACACAGTACAGGAGATGACCAGAGACTGCGGACACAGTACAGGAGATGACCAGAGACTGCGGACAGTACAGATGACCAGAGACTGCAGACAGTACAGATGACCAGAGACTGCAGACCTTTGGGAAGCGGGTACCCAAATTTGACAGGTACCCGCTGCTACTCCCGCGGAGTTGTGCTCCCCGTAGTCTTGTGGGACACGTAACAGGTCCCAAAAGACTACGGGGCTATTCAAACCGCAGTGCTTCCCGCGCATGAGTAGTGGGCACCTGGCTGTGAAGCTGCAAGCTGTCACAGCCGGGTGCCCACAGTGAAGATGCCGGCGCGAGGGGAGAGAAGACGGCCGATGAAAGCAGGACACCGCTGGACCGAGGAGCGAGTTCTTCTGCACAGTAGAGTTGAGTGGCCAGCCCAGTATTCTAACACTGCGGCGGCGGGAATACGCAATATGCAATTTTTGTTAAAACTTATAAATCATATTAGACATGTTAAAGTAGTAATAACGTTTGTTTTTTACATATATTTCCTCTTGAGCAATAATAACTGGACAATAAATCATCATCTTGTTTGGCAACCAGAACAATACTTTATCACTGTGGATATCATAGCAAGAAAACTGAAGAAGTGGAAAAATCACCCACATACTTAGGATCCTTTAACACAGGCATCATCAGTTCAGTCCCTTTTTTTTTTTTTTTACAAAAAAAAAAAAACACCCACAAAAACAACACACAATAACTGATGAAAACGGATTCTGCTAGCAAGTGGCAGCTCATCATACCCAACATCTTACAGATGCAGCAAATTAAGACCTGGATAACAGGGGCCGCCACTGAAACACAAGAATAAAAAAAAAAGGTATCCCCGAGTCAGTCGAACACGACCAATTTCCTACGGGCTTGTTCACGCTTGACTTAATTTCTAAATCTTCAAAAATGCCCCTATAGCGTTAGACAGGCATTAATGAGCTTTAGTATTGGCATTTTAAAAGCGTTACAAACACTCCCCAAACACCCTATGCTCGATTTTGAGGCGTTTTGGAAGCGTTTTACAAGCATTAAAATTGCTATAATAAACTCTAATGGTATTAACAAGCCACAAACGCTTACCAGGTCATTTGAGGAGCGTCACAATAATCTTGAATTGGAGGCATTGAAAGGCTTCAACTCCTCCTGACTTGACATAAGGCTTCAGCTTTGAAGCGACGCTAGCACTTCATGTTTCGATAATGTGACCAGCATTATCATTTACATAGGCATTTGAGGAGCGTTAAAAACACCCCTCAACGCCTGCTTTCAAAGCCAGTGTAAACTAGGCCTAAGGCTCTACAAACTCTCAACCTGCTGAAATGCTTGCAAGATGCACCATTAGAGCTGGAAAGTGTGCACAGAGCTTTAAGGCAGCAAAGAACTGATGTGGACCAGCTGAGAGTTATTGTATGCTGTTTTGTGAACTAAACGATTGAAAGAAGAGATTGCTCAAAGAACAAGAGGCATTCACCTTCAACAGCTCTCATGTGAAAGTGTTTCAAGACCTGTTGCCTCTTACACTGCAATATCGAAGGGCATTGAGACCAATCTCGTCACTGTTGAGAGGAACATAACATATAGATGGAGATTTACCTTCAGACTAACAGCAACCCACCAAGGAGATCTGCGACCTTGCAGATCCAAGAGGATCTGCCTAAATGTTCTGATCTCCAACTGTCTCCTATACCAGTTCTAGAATGCATCAAGATTTACTACCAGCAGATGCAATGGGAACTGTACCTGTTGAATCCCTAGAGCAAAGACCAGTGAGACGGAGAGACCACTCTCCAGACCTACCCCCGCAGGAAAGTAGTTGAAGAATCTCAAGAGATTGCCTGACTGGATCAGCTGTTGACCGGTAAGACAGAGTTAAATCTGAGGACACTCCACTGCTGGGCTCTTATGGAATGTTTAAACATTCTATTAAATGGACTTGCACTACTTCGGGTATCCTTCATTGAGTTTCTTAGGCTCCGTTCACACTAGTGCAATTTGCATCGCAACTTTGGATACAAAGTTGCATGACAAGTCGCAGCCCATTGATTTCAATGGCACCTGTTCCAATCTATGTGACTTAAACTATGCTATTGCTGGCTAGGGATATCAATCACAGAGTCCTGACCGGCGATTCCCAGCAGGTACTTGGCGATCGTCGGGTAAAGCAGACCTGTCTGCATGGACATGCTGTTTTGTATCTCTCTGCACAGCAAAGAAACACAGCAGCATGTCTCCCTAGTTAAACACAGCACACAGTTAACCCTTTGATCGCCCCACAAGGTAACCCCTTCCTGCCCAGTGTCATTAGTACAGTGGTAGCGCTTTTTATTAGCACTTAACTAGTGTCAAAGGGTATGCAATGGTAGTCAGTTCCTCAGAATAATGAACATTTTCCTCTTACAGCTGCTAAATGCTGGAAAGAGGGAGAAAAGGAGAAGCCGGCTTTCAGCAGTTGCAGGAGTAAAATGAAGATCAGTTTTTGTATATGCCACCCCCCACTCCCCGTTCAAATGTAAGACTGAATGTGACAGAGGCCAAAACGGCCCCCCTGGAGCATTGGCTCTGAGGAAGAGGTGGCTAGCCCTCGAAATGCATCAGCCTTTTGGAGGTCCAGAATTCTCATCACAGACAGATTAGTGCAAATTGGACAGAGCTGTTCCTTCAGGATGTGCCTTTTGACTATCGTGAGTAGAACACCTATTTAACATTCAATAAACATACTTTTAAAGATAATGCACTAGGCCGGTGTACCCTCTTTTGCTCTATTCAGACACCATTGTGATCCCTGATGCTACACCAGTGGTTGGGTGGGATGTGGTAAAAACAAGCCTCAACTATAGGGTTTTACTGCTCCACCAAACCACAAATATAAACAAGCCTTTCCTATCCTAAGCCCCCTATAAAAAAGACTACTTTCACAATGATGCATTGAGGTTTACCTGCACTATGGGTGCAGTGCACCTGTGGGTTAGCTGAGCTTTGTAATCGACGTCTATTATGTCTTGCAGGTGCAGTGCACATTCTGAAAGCACACCAAACCCACGGGATAGAATAAATATTAGATACGTCTACAGCATTGTCAATTTGCGCAGCGCTTTACATTTATATTGTACATTCACATCAGACCCTGCACTCAAGGAGCGTACAATCTAAGATCCCTAACTCACATTCATACATACTAGGGCCAATTTAAACAGGATCCCTGGTTTGAGGTCGAGAGCCTCAGGTTGAACATCCCTGGTCTAGCTTGTTCTCCGCCACTCTCATTTCCTTTATTATTTTAAAGCCTTCTCCTGGGCTGAATGTGTGCCTATTGCTAGGCTGCTGTTTATTGCATACCATCTATTCGTGTGTACCCAACCCCAGCCCAGTGTTATATAGTGGTTCATGAGCTGTACCACCCATATCTTGGACACCTAGTGTGTTACTCACATATTTTGTATCTCACTAGAGGCGAAAAGCCTGTCATTGGCCACCTCCTTTTACCGGAGTTACAGAGGCACCTTACAGATAACTTTGTCCTTCAAGATTTCTATGAGCTGGTTTGTTTTGTATCCCTTTACTTTCTGCCATATACAGTGGGTATAAAAAAAAAAAAAAAAAAAAATGTATCACACCAACCCCTTTAAAATAATCACATTTTGTTGCTTTGCAGCCTGAAATGAAGACAGACAGTTTTTGTTTTATCCAGCTGTATTTACGAAGTGCAACTTAACCTCCCTGGCGGTATTCCCGAGTGTAGCTCGGGGTAAGGTTTCAGTACCACAAGCGGTAACCCCGAGCTACACTCGGGAATACCATGCGGTGCTGCTCCACGATCCCTGTATCACTTACCTTGTCCTGCGCTCCCACGATGTCCCTCCTGCAGTGTCCCCGACAATGTAATCCGGCGGATGCCGGCATCTGTCATCTGGGTTCTGTCCCCTGTGAGCGTCGGGACGTATGGGGGACGGAACGGCGGGAAATTCAAAAATGACAAAAAGTGACATTCACTAAAATCACATAGTATTCCATTACTGTATCAAACCATTTCACATACATTTTGTCCCGAGTGCTTTGTCCTGTGTCCTGCCTGCATATTTACTGTTCTTATTGCGTGGAAACTGAGAAATGTCCATGGTGTCCCAAAAAGCGCCATTTTAGGTCAAAAGCGGTTTAACTAGCTAGAGAACAGCGATAGTAAATCAGAACCACTTGCAGAATTGAGTGATAATGATTTGTGGGGAAATTCATCATCAAACAGTGAAAACGATTTTGCGACTTTGCTCAGTGATGTGCGAACTTGGCGCTATATTTCAAATTTCAGTGTTTTTGGTTTGATTATATTATTAAATTTATTATTATATTATTATTTTTATGATTATTTATTAAATTATAATTTATGATTTAGTGTTTCAAATTTTAATCACACCCGGGATGTTTACTAGACTCTTGTTCGGACAGATTTCAGTGAGTTATTCCTAAAAATTACAGCCCTACAATAAAAAAAAAAAAAAAAAAAAAAAAAAAAAAAAACATATTTCCATGCAAAAAAAAAAAATGGTACCGCTTTCAGCACCAAAAATCTGAAATAATCATACCGCCAGGGAGGTTAATACATTCCAAGTGAACGATATAACACCAACATATCAGAAAGAAAAAATAAAAATTCAGACAGAGTTGGAAAAAGGATCACTCACCTTGTGTCAGTATTTTGTTGAACCACCTTTTGCTTCAAATTACAGCCTTTAGTCTGTTGGGATATGTCTCTACTAACTTTGCACATCTTGACTTTGCAATATTTGCCCACTCTTCTTTGCAGAACTGTTCAAGTTTAGTTTAATTTGATGGTGACAGTTTGTGGACTGCAGACTAAGTCATTCCACAGATTTTCAATGGGGTTTAAGTCTGGGCTCTGACTAGGCCATGCAAGGACATTCACTTTTTTCTCCTTCAACCACTGTGGTCATTTTTGCTGTGTGCTTTGGGTCATTGCCATGTTGGAAGGTAAACCTTCTTCCCATTGACAACTTTCTGGCAGATGGCAGCAGATTTTCCTCAATTTGATGGTATTTTGCCCCATACATTTTTTCTTCTATCCTGACAAGTGCTCCAGTCTCTGCTACAGAGAAACACCCTCATACAGGATATTACCGCTTCCATGCTTTACTGTAGGAATGGTGTTATTTGGATGGTGGACTGTATTGGATTTCCATCAGACACAATGTTTAGTGTTGAGGCCAAATAATTCAATTTTAGTCTCATCTAGCCATAATACTATTTTCCATGTGGCCTCAGAATCTTCAAGGTGCATTTTGGCAAAGCTCAGTCATGACTGCATGTAGCCTTTCTTGAGTGGCTTTTTTCTTGCAACCCTCCCATACAAGCCATATTTGTGGAGAATTTGTGATATTGTTGTGACATACACACAGTGATCACGCAATGACCACTCTGTCACACAATTTCTGCAACTGCTTCAGAGTTTCTGTAGGCCTCCTGGTAGCATTTCTGACCAGTTTCCTCCTGGCTCTTTCATCTAGTTTGGAGACATCCCGATCCAGGGAGACCTTCCACCTCTTAATAGACTTCAATGTGCTTCTAGGCATTATAAAGCCTTTTTTTTGTGTTCATCTCCTGCCTGTCCACAATTTTATCCCAGTGATCTTTTGCCCTGTGGCCCATAGTTGATAGTTTGCTAAAGTTACACTATCGGGGACTGAAATGTTTCAGGAAAGCTCTTTTCATGCTGAGCTAAATCAAAATGACCGCAGCTGATCACAGTTAAAAGTCAAATGGTTTTCTTTGCCATTGAGAAGGTGATAAAGTATACCTGCTTTACAAGTCATTTTTAGGAGGGGGGTGATCCTTTTTCCAACTCAGTAATTCTGGTTTTGAATTTTTGTTAATCTTTCACCTGGATGTTAAAAGTTGCTCTGTGTAAAAACAGCTGGATAAAAACAAAAACCGGTGTCCGTGTTCATTTCAGGCTGCAAAGTAGCAAAATGTGATCTTACATGGGAAGATTTTGTATACCACCTGATTTATATTTTCTGTTATGTAGCCTGCGCATGATGGCAATCGAACACATTCTTTGTTCCCAAAATACATTGTGTCCCTCAGCACACATTTACATCAACGGTCTTCATATATTTTAGTTACTTTGCTTTTGCCCACACTTAACTCTTAGGCAGTTTTTGATAACCCGCTACAGATCTCTCTCTCTCTACTGCAGTAAGATATCTCCCTGGTCTCCTAGCCACACCTAGTGGCACCCCACACAGCAAGGCCATCAGTCTTGCTCTCGTTTGGTGGAATTCAGTCAGTGAGAGATCAGTGTCTCTTGCCCACCCAACATATTACTGTTTCTACATTCTTCTACATCCTTCTTGGTCTCTTTTCTTTCCTTCCTTTTTGCCCCCTTGACCTGCACCTCTACCCTCCACAAGTGCTTTAGGTTATGCTCAAACAGCAACAATCTTATCTCAGTTCATGATCATTGTTTGTAGTGCACAAAAGGTAATTCCCTATACCTCATATTCAGTCTCAAGGTATCTAACCCTTTCTCATTAGCGTATTACGTCATATGGTGCCATTCACAGATGGGGTCATTGTCCTGCTGGAATTCCTGAGGTATTCACTAGCAAAATCCTTTCCCTGCAGCAAAACAAAAAAATCATTCACCCGTAGGTACTGTGTTTTGTTCAATTCCGTTTTGCAATGAGAGCTTAACTTGGTCTCATCTGTTCCAGAGCTTTGAGGTCAGCAGTGGGGTCCTCCATGGTCTTGCAGCGCTGACACCTCTCTCCCTGAAATCCATAGCTTGAATGTCAGATCATGGGGTGCAAATCACCTCCCTTCATGGGAGATTAGAACTGCATTTCAAAAGTTCACTAACTTTTTCAAATAATAGATACCCCACACAGTATCGTGTATAGCAAAACATGTGTTAATGCAATACGTTTCGTGAGAAATACATGATTTCCTGGAGAAATATCAGGGTGCCAACAGTTTCGGCCATGACTGTAGATCATGTGCAAAACCACCTCCCTTCAGTATGAACTGCATTTCAAAAGTTCACATAACTTTTCAAATAATAGATACCCCACACAGTATCGAGTTGCAAACTCCACAGATTCCTCAAAAAACGAAGGGCGTAACTAACCTTTTAGCTAATCTCCTTAAAATCGCAGCTTCATGACCAACCATCCTATTTATATTAGATCTATTAGTTTTATAGCACGAAATCCACTTTATATCAAATACCATAAAAAAAAAATACATATATTCTCCAATCACCCTGTTTGCCCCCCCCCCCCAATCTTCTTAACCCTTCCATTTACTTCTTGTTCCATCTGGCTTCCCCCCCCCCCTCTTATCTTTCCCATACTCTTGTTCCTTTGCCGTTTACTTTTTTCCATTACACTCCAGCGCTTCTAAACAACACACACAGACTATTCATCCAGTCTTATTTGGCCATGTTTAGTAAATAAAACAAAATGACATTTTTATATTGCCTCACCGATGTCTGATTTATGGAATAAGTAAACCCACGGGTCTAACGGTATATTAATCTTCAGTATCTCTTGTATATATTGAATTATCACCCACCAAAACTCCTGTATTTTAGGACAAACCCACCAAATATGCGCCATTGTTCCCTTGCTCCCGCACCCTCTCTAACACAGAAGTAAGACCTCTGGTCTTTGTGTGCCATATTAGGGTGTAATATACCATCTTACAAGACATTTATAATTCATTTCAACTATGTTCATATTCACCCGTGTGTTAATCTAAACATTTTACTCATGTGTTGCTCTTTCAATTTTGTTCTAAGCTCCTTTTCCCAATTATCCAGAAACACTTGGGACACCGGTCCATCTATTTCAATGAGGATTTTATCAATCCTAGAGGTAGTATGTTTTTCGATTGTATTTGAGCTGAACATTTGCTCTAAAAGGATACGTCTTCCTCAGTAACTGTGGGAGCATTGCAACAAAATGTCTTATTTAGTAATACTGCCATTCATCCAGTGTAGAAAACATTTCTTCTTTTTTTTTTTTAAAAAAAATTGTGTAAATAACATAGTGCGCCCTTATCTACAATGTCTTATAAGCATGCATTTCTATCCTTTATCCATTTCCTGAAATATCATTCCCAGGTGGGAAAAGCTTTGTTCCCACCAATGGAATTGACAATCCTTCTGCTTGTGCATTTCATCCCAAATCCTCAATGCATTCCATGTCAAAGTGCTTGTGTCTTCGACCAGTGTGCGAAACTTATGTGGTATCCAAATAATCCTATCTAGTGGTGCCTTGCTAAGTAAACTCTCCATTTTTTTTCCCCCCCAACTTCTCCCTCGTGAATTATATATCCAATCTGCAATTCGTGATATTAACACGGAGTTATAGTATCTCTTGAAATCCGGCATATTTAGTCCCTTTTTTCTTTTATTACTGCATAAAACTTCATATTTAAACTTTGTTTTTTGTTAACTCATACATATGAGTATCTTTTTTTTGAGGATCCCAACGAAAGGCCCTGTTAGGTTTATTGGGAGCATATTAAATTTATACAAGACTGTTCGTACTATGATTACCTTTATAATATTTATTCGGCCTATCCAGGACAACGTTCCCATTGAGATTCTCCTCAATTCATCCTTTATCTCATTTATTAATGGGATATAGTTTACCCGATATAGATTTTTTATGGACGATGTTAATCATTCATGTTGTTCATTCCCAAATACTTTAATTCTTTTTTCCCTCCACGTGAAAGGGTATTGTTAGGAATGGACTGGCCAGCAATGGTGGGACTCACCTGCCTTTTGATCTGCAGTACCAGGGCTGGCCAGCGGGTGCTCCCAGCAATCAGAGACTCAACCTTTCAGCCAGCTAACACCTGGAACTGATGATACTGGGGTATTTAAGGGATGGCCAGACTTGCAGACTCTGCCTTGGTGTTGTGTTTGTCCTGGGCCCTGTATCTGTCCTGCATCCTGTTTCTGTTCCTTTGCTGACCCTGATCTGAACTGCTGCTGACTTCTCCTGCTCTGATCCTGG